AACTGATTTCATGTACTCAATCATTCACAATAGACGAAGTATATCATAAACCATTTGTTTTCCTTTGTTTACTCATATTACAGTTTAGTCAGGTCTCTATTCGGGTAGGTGATAATATAGAATACAGTGTAATACAATGTTTTCGTTTTATAAATTATAGATGTGTCGATTTTGTGTATGACCAGTGGACTTCAACCGGGTCTGTTTTGAGATAATAAATCACTGGTGAATAAAGTAGATGGTGATGCGATTTCATGGATTCGTTGACGTGAGATATTAACACCGTTGAGTGCTGTCTTAGCGCTCAAGATCTTAATTGTTTGCACACGAGTCAGATGTGTCCCAGGTCCGAACCCCGCGAGTATGATCGTGAATGCGTATTGTTGAGGAGTCCCATATTCGGGCGAAACGGTTGTTTAGTGCTTCCAAGTTTACCGTGGTGGGAAGATTACTTCCATATTCACACTGTCAACGTGCAAACCATTAAAGCATACCATTAAATGAAGTGAAATCGAAATCAGTATACTTAAATGAATGACTAATTGGACTGTGAAGAAGATTGATAAATACAATTCAAACTACTATTTAGAGAATTTGATTGAATCAAAGAAAGTGTACAGTCTGAATGTGGACATATTAAACTTCTTTATCTATTGATGATTTCCGTGATGTATATTCCATTCGCTTACCGACATCCTCTCCAACTAGTTGTTGTTTTCTCCTCCACAGTGACTGCTTGCTATTAGTTTAGTTTTGTTTCTTGAGCTGAAAGATTTAGTCGTGACTATTTCATCGTTATTCTGATGTCCATTATCAGTACAAACTTTAGGCAGAAGTGGAGTGTTCGAATTACTCCACATATGGCTCAAAGCTTGTCCTTTAGAACTTGATCTTGTTTAGTCACTGTTGACCTTAACCCACCCATTGTTAACTTCAATATTTTGAATGTATCTACAAATCTTTCCCACCATCTCAATGAATGTTTGTTATTTAAATAAATGAGGTATCATCTAGTCTATACTGTGGTTCTATATTCTATATCCTGAATCCTCGATCCAATATAACATGACTATTCTATAAGCAAAGTTTAATAGTAACTAGCAGTGGAATCCAGAACACGTGTTTCGTCTTATTCGAAACTGGTCAGTTCTATATGCCTGCATCTCAGATCTGATGCTTGGAAGATGGGAAGATGCAAGTAAACAACACCAACATGACTAATCTTATTATCTTATGGAAGTATTGACGTAGCAAACTGGGAAGAGAGGGGGTGAGAGGATAAGAAGTAACGTTTAGTAATTGATTACTTGATTATATATATATTTATTACGATGTATATAATTTAGCAACATACAAGATTACATTATTGCAAGTGTATAAAATACTTCTTACCAACTAAACATTTAGACCAGCTCGCACCATATTGTGAGTAATTTTATTTACTTGATATTATTATACATTTAACATTTAATAGGAATTGAATAAAGATAGTAGAAGTGGAATCTCAGACGCTTGTTTCGTCTTTTTTAGGGCTCGTCAGCTGAATTTGATGTTCAGTCTAAGACTCAATTTCAAACGCCATCGTGTTATCCACTTAGCCAATGACACCTGATAGCCACTTGTTTGTGAAATAAGGTGAACTGTAAATTCACTTGATATAGTTTGTTTAAATGTTCCCATTGATGTTCAGGGTTGCAATAGATCAGTCTTTTGTTGACATATGTGCTTGGTGTGTCTTAATGCACAAGCATTTTATACAAAAGTGAATAATGACTAGCAGTGGAATTCAGAACGCGCATTTTGTCCTATTTGGGACATATCAGCTGGATGTACCATCAGTATGCACATATGTCAATAAGAGATTGATCAATTGCATCAATGTGAAGATTCAAACAAACAATGCCAAGTGAATTTGTAGATAGTCATGGTTGAAATGTATCAATCATACGTGTTGCTACTCAAATGAACAGTTTTCCAAACTTATCGCTGTATACATTCCTTCAATCTGTTATTGGATTATGATGATGTAAACTAAATAGAAGTCAATAATTTTAGTGATGAGATGAGTTCTAGCAATCATATTATCAATGGTTTATTTCGAGATTTAATTTTAGTGGACACTAGTGTCTGACTCCATTTGAATCATTTGATTATGGTCATTGATTTATACATGTCACCAATCCTCGTATATAATCATCACGTCAGTGAATAACGGAAGGATGTGTTCAATAAATATATTTTGTGCATTCATTGGATAATGCATACGTTTCAATATTTATAGTAAGATCAAATCGAGGCGAATCAAGTCGATGCTAAGGGAAGTGCAGGCAAGCTAAAGGCAAGCCAAAACAAAGCGAATAGTTAAAAAAGTCAAAATGAAAATAAAGAAGAATGATTTAATTTATCTGTCCAGCAACTAGAATAACCTTTGTGATCTTGACATAGAGTCAGCCAGTGTATAGTCAAAAATAATTTATTTCTCATCATGTGAGATCTTTACGAATATGCATATAGACCTATTCAGGATATAGTTCCATGACGTTTACTAATTCATTGGGTATATTCTATTCTTATTATTTATGGTCATACCTTCAGAACTTATCAATAAATTGAAGTAGAGGGATCACATTCTTTTCATAAAAGATTCCATTACAACCAATTGAACCCATCCAACCAAAACAAGCAGAAATCAAGATCCCAGTGTTTCATGGAATAGCCATATCAAAACTAGTTTAAGTTATATCAGAATGCTTTTTATTGTGTATATCATAGTAATTTGAATAGTTGAGATCATGAGTCATTTGAAGCTGGATCATCAGGGAATACCTGGATCTGATCCTACCGCTGAACTCCTCGGTAGTGCTCATCTAAGATGTCACCATTCGCCGAGATTCGACAATATACCTTTTCCATTGATTATTACTTATTTAATATTTCATATATTGTATTGCATCATCAACACTAAGAAATGATCGAACATTATTTACATGATTACATTTTCATTTATTTCGTCCATGTACTACGTGATCATTAGTAATGGAATGAATAATCGAACGATGAATGAATGGAGGGAATAAACTAGAAAATCATACTGTTATCATGAAATCATTCTATTATTGGATAATATGTACGAATGTCTTATTGTCCATTGTATAACAATATATATACATATATGCAAATACTACTGTATAATACTTTTTATTCCATTGAATGAATGGTCATCATTGTCGAATGACAGAAGAATCTGTAGAATGAACACCTATTTCCTCGATGTAATAATTTGTTTTGTATGATGTGTGTGTGAATGTGAATGTATTCCTCATCGAAATGTTGATCTTTAATATGTTAACCAATCAAAATGAAGCAGGAATTAACAATTACACTAGTATAATCTATGATAGAGGGTGTGGTTTATTCTCTATGGTTCTTGTTGACTTGCATGAAAAATATCAAGTATGTTAAAGTGAGATTACCATTCTAGCATGCTGTAGACATTTCAAGTGTAGCGCAGTCAGTCATGATGAAAGAGAAAAGAGCTACAACATGCACTAAGGTTATTTGAAAACGTGGAATCTATCTCAAGCCTCAATAATGATTATACGATTTTCTTTTTAGGACCTGGGCTTCGGATTAGAAACTGATGTATATCAATTGATTATCATGGAATTAATATCATGAATTGATGTTTAAATTTCTTTTACCTAATTGCTCATTCATATATTGTTGAATTGTATTTCTAACATTAAGTACATTATGCTGAAATATGTATTTCATTATAGTCCAGTTGACCATCTCATTCTTAGATAAGGTTGGAAAAAGAAAGGGGGATTTCGTTCTGTTCAAAGCTCAGTGATTGAATTCAATGATGATTAGAAAAACATCTAATTGTCTTAATCAGCAGTGAAAAGCTTCTTTCAAGGTAAGAATGATAAGTAAAATTAAATAAGATCAAAAGTATTCATGTACTGGACGATTGGTAATATGATAGGTGCTGTTATAAATCATGTGATGAGGATTCATTTGAAGAAGACATTCATCAATTTGCTGAATGAAAATAAAAAACCCTAAGACTATGATCATGATCAAATCAGTATATCTGGTTACCGAGTATAAATCCATCCAGCTCATATATGTCTAGATGAAATGGAATGGATTGATGTGTACATTTCAATTGAATGATTATAAGTATGACTTTGATTGATCGTGCCGAATTGTCTGATCATTCGTCTTTGAGGATTCTTCGCACAAACACGTTGGCAATCTTTTTGCAGGTTACGAAACTACTTCATAATAATCCAATTAGAATTGTGAAAGTATAGTTTCATATTACTTAGTAGTCGAGTGTGTGGAATGAATTCAATGAATCAGTTATATTAGAAAAATTCTTGTTATTAATGAAGCTGTAGTGAACAAGAACACACGGTGGGGACAATCGATTGTATTTGAAAACAAAATTACAGAACCTCTTAGTATAATCTGAGAACTATACAATGAGCATTTCATTTGCAATGTTTGAGTCACCAAACTCAGACTTCATTGTTCCTTCACTTCCACACCAATTGTTCCCTGTTCTCATTTTTTTCTTCTTTGATCTTTTCAACATTCTGCCGCCAGACATTTCACTGTCTATTGATGATACATACTAATTATATCTGTCGACATTAGTAGCACACACCACGCAACTAATCACTGAAATTTGAATGAAGGTTGTTGTAAAACGCATTGAGTAAAGATTGAAACAATACCTACTGCAATTTTTATGAGAAATGTTGTGTGACAATTTAGTAATGGGATGATGAAATTATCGATCAGGCTATCGGCGGCCTGCTTGAGCATCTGGGCTACCTGTTCCTGCCATCTAAATATTTCAACAAGTTATCTATTTTTGTTTGTTTTAATATATCATTATGTCTATTAATCGCATTACTTATTCTGCTGCGTTTCTGAAAAATGTACAACCTTTCGTTATCAAAGTTACAAGAAGCTCAAAAAGAGAGAATATGGTTGCTGGCAATATACAACGAAAAGAATGTACATCATTCCCATGTTCATTTACTGGACTGATAACATCTAGCTGGCGACCACTTAGTATTTATCGCGAGGACCGACCAAGAAGAAAGAAACGGAAACTTGTTGAAATACTTTGTGCTGAGAATTCGATATTGTACGAATAATATAATATTGAATAAAGCTAATAATAATAATAATAATAATAATAATAATAATAATAATAATAATAATAATAATAATAATAATAATAATTGATTTATTAGGCTGCGATGAGTTGGTTCGTCGAACATATGTAGAGCGGAAAGTTATTCCCATTGACGCAGTTTATTGCGTTAGCTTCGTCATCTGGCTCTTCTTTTAAGTGGCCATTTATCTGACTCCTATTAGATGGAATAAACGGTTGCTGTCGAAGGATATATCTCGTCCACCCTCGTATTTAATCATGGACCTAAATCGCGTCTGTGTATAACGGAATTCAATAAGTCCAATACAAGAATAGAATACGAATATCAATCGTTGATCCAGACAGACAATCAGAAGAACGAAGCGAGAAAGCGAAGCTAAACGAAATGACATGTAGTGGAAAAGGTGAGTGACTCAATGCCTATAGTTAGACGAAATTAATTTACAGACACGTGACGAATAGGGTGAGCAGTTAACTGACATACGATCACACAAAAACAGGACTTGATTTAGCACCAGCTCTTAAAACAAACTAAAGCAAATATACAGTAACCATTGTAAAATGTTTGAAACATTCTAAACTTAAATGGTTTTCTACGAAATTGATTGAGTATTCTACTCCAGACGTTTAGCAAACAAAACACTCATTATTACTGGTCTAGGTTACAAAACACGATAGGTGAAAGTTTAAACTTGATTCTTGCACTTGCTTGGAGTGATCAGCAAAATAATGCGAGAACTGTTACGCATAGACTAGTATAATAGGATTCACCGTTCTTGAGTTACCTCACTCTTTCAATTTCTGTCTCACACATTCACAGCCAATTTGGTTACATGTTGTATAAATTTTGTTTTTATTTTGTGGTGTGATATGGTCTGTTTGGTTCGTGAATAAAGCCAGTGTGCTTGAAATACATGATTCATATCGCGGAGGTTGTGACTGATGCTCCGGACTCAGATAAGGACTCTAAACTGTTCGTACGGGATTATGCGTTATTGGTCCTGTCGATAAGTCACTGTTCTCAAGTAAGTGGGATCATTACGTTATATATTAATACGGCACGAGGCCAGAAGACATAACAGGACAAAAAAACTTTATGAAAACATTTTAAAATCAGAATTTTGGGGAAGACGATAAATGAGTACGTCAGAGTCATCGCAAACGATTTTGAGTCATGTCATTCAAAGTATTTAAAATTCAGTCACGACAAGCACTGGGACCCGAACCAGATAGTCTGCATTATTGAAATGGATACCTCCGATTGTCAAAGGTTTCATATGGTGATCTCATGTCTTAGTTCAGCTGCATCTGTTATTCTTCAAACCTACTCATGCACCAAAAAACATCGCACGTTGAAGAAGGCAGTCGTCCGTCATGCCTAACATGTGTCCTAACCGTCTCCGTTGATGAAGAGTTTCTATCCCACCGATTGCAAACCCAGTAATGGCCCGTGAATCTGACTCCATTTTGATAGTATAAATGTTTGTTGTCGCCTTTTCTCGTTTATCATCGTCGACTTAAATCACGTTAGTTAATAACGGAATTAAATAAGTCAAATAACGAGAATACATATATTTTGTGTGTAAAGTGAATGCGATAGAACAAAGCGAAAATGACGCGCAGGGAGGATGGCTGGGAAGCCAACTCCCTTTTAGTCAAGCATTACTCAATATTTATAATCAGACAAAATAAAGATACAGACATGTGATTAATGAAATAAGAAGGGCACACATATATACGCTCATATAAAAACAGTCAAGACTGACAAGCAAATAATTGACAAGGTCAAAACATGACTCAAGTAGAACGAATAGAATGGAATGTCCGAAAGCTAAAATAAGGTATATGGGCCTGGCATAATAACTGACACTACAACCCTCGCGTATTACCTCATTCCTGACCCAGGCATTGCTTACTTCGTGTTTCCAAAATATGCAAGACGCCTCGAGATTTCACCAGACACTGCACAAACAGGATCGATAAAGCAACGAAAATAAGTGAAGCGTTCGACAGGTTCAACTACTTCATTACCTACAATTATCTCAAGTGATGACGCAAGCCAAATCATGAAGCAACATTTTACATTTGGCAGGGGAGAAATGCGTTTGAATCGTTGTTTAAGGTGGTCAATGTACTATTCATTCTGCCAGTATCTTGACAATCAAAACATTCTAGCTCAACAAGTGAATCATTTGGTGTAAAACTAATCCCTGAAACGTCAGACGATGAAAGTGTTATCTTCAAAAGCATGCACATGACAGGGTTACAAAAAAGTGGGAAAGGCGAATAACCCTGAAAATCATCATTTGAAGAAATTAGTCACGACGATAATTAAACATAAGCTCACACTGGTCTAGGCGTGTTCGAGTAAAGAGCCTGTACAAGGTTAATGTACTCACTTGACACGCTTATCAACGACAGACACTGCCATATATCTTTACGATCAACAGTGGCGAATGCTCCCTTAAGGTCATTAAATGCAAATGCAATCGGACGTCAAAAAGTATGCTTACGTCCCAGAACCTGTCAGTGAGCGAATATTTGATCTATACATCCACGCCCAGGTCCAAAACCATTCTGTTATTCTCGAAACGGCACTTTTAAACCTCTAGTTAGACTTCGAAGATAATATTTTCGGTAATGAAGTCTCATCTGGAAGATTTCAAGAAACGTTGTTCCATGACATCGTACCTTAAGTCTACTCTATGTATAACGAAAGCTTAATTTTTTATTGCTGTCTGATACACCTCTGACGTTGTATTGACATTATTATGGCTGTAAAAGAAACTTCCAACAATACATCAATGTATCTAATTCCGCTTTACACACGTAAGACCTGGCCTATTCGAGCTACGGATTCTCAGAAACACACTCTATTTGATAATCGTCGTCAACGAAGTCCAGATCGAAAAATGTGTATTCAAATAAAGTGACAATAATAACAGAAATACAGAACAATGACTCCAGTGGTTTGAATATATTTTTGACGAAACTCATTCCAGAACCATCCATACTGTACGCCATTTTCGAACTTTGAGGATGTAGCGCTCAGAACTCAAAAATAATCAGTCAATGTCATGATTCTACCGAATCAAATATAGCTGTGCAGAACTGACTTATGTTGTATCATAACTACCCTGTGCTCGAGGTTCTGACGATAGTGCAACTCAGTGACTTGTGAAGTAGTCCCACTGCAATTGTTCTATAATCATAACGGGATGTGATACAGATTTTCCAAAAAACTCAAACCGCTGAAAGCGTTATTGAACAAATGCTCTGAATTCATGATACTTTTTAATTATTGGAATCTGTATTATTAATCAAAAGTCACGTCAACATTACCAGTAAAAATTTACAATACAACTATTAAGATGTTGAAGATAGTCGGTAGCAAATCATATTCGACTTAAATTTCGTATAAGCTGACACTTGGACGTAAGGCTTACTTGTAATCATGAAGGGATTGCGGAACACATGGTGTTTAAACCCATATCGCCAAGACCCATAGTGTGAGGCATTACCGCTAGAGAATACTGGGTGGTGTAAATATGTATACATCATGGGCCGTAGGTTTCAAAAAATTCTAGATATCTCTCAGCAATTTGTCTTAATTAACACGAAACAAATTTCAAGGATTTCCTGCAGTCTACCTTCGGTCACCCGATATGTCAAGTTACATAAATGAGTGGCTACATTCGAAGTTGATCAGTTGGATTCAATCCGTACTGAAGAACTAGAAAAAGATTATATCGGTCACTACTGTGAATAATCAGTTGTATATAAAATAATACTTATATGGTATGCAATCGTTGATATTTCTACAAACATCAGCTGAGGCCAACAGACAGATATTTACAAGTCACATTGTCAGATAAAGCAAATTGGATAACATTCACTGTAATTTCCTCCTTCTTTGTTTTGAATGATGTTTTGATGATTCCGGGTCCATGACGTTCTCATCCTACAAATGCATTTCTTACTTCTTAGGACAGCGTTAAAGCAACTCCCTGAGTGTGTGGAGCGTTTTGTTTATACGTGAAAGGAGTATAGCAGCATCTATCTCGTATCTAGCATTTGCCGTCCAGCTTGGGTCCAATGAATTTTGCTGACTGCGAGTGCTGTCAATTTGACTGGTCTTCTCCGTCTCCCACATTGTCCGGATGTTCCATGTACTTACAAAAATTGTTGCTCTGACTGTAGGAATAGGTATTGGCCTCGTGACTTCCGAAGAAACTGGGCTTTCACAACGAGGCGCCATAACTATTTTAAGTGAAGACCATCTAACTCCTAGAGTGGAGTTTAAATAGTTTTAATTATTGTTTCTTGTCAGTGTTTTTTTAACGAGTTAGTCTTCTATGGGATGGGGTCGCTAATCCCATGCCTAGCTCTCCTCTACATTAGCTACAGAAGGAGTCAAACGACAAATCGTAGTACCATCCAATTCTTAAGTCTATTACTGTACCTTAGATAACGACTCACCATTTATGGTAAAATTTAAGTCAAGTGATTTATTATAGAAACATATTCACCAACACTTACCTCTGTTCAGCATCATCCGCCTTGTGAACTAGTTTGTGGAGCTACACCCTAATGGACTTTTGCATATTTTTCAGCCCATATGAAGAAAATGAATACAATACTTCGAGATCATCTGCAAACAGAAATGGGCTGCGTTTGACTAGAAATAGTGACGTTCGACTATTTGGTGTTGGTTGCTGAGGAAGGGATCAGTGCATTCAAACGGGGTGTGGCACTAAGACCAGATGTTTTCGATTACGTGGAGACAAGTCCAAATTAAAGAAGTCAGGGTGATATATCACAGAACACTGACTTAGAAATCCATGTTTAAAATCATCGATAACTTTTCAGTGAGTAGATGGTTGGATAGTTCGCCACACACGAGGATTTCCATAAACATGGGCATAACTAGAATAATCTTTACGAGCCCATAATTGTTGATGCCAGTCATGTCTCCAAAATTGTGACGTTGTATGACGCCCTCAGCTTTCCAACAGTAAGTTTAAGTACATGCTTCCATGGTTAGAATTAACACATTTGGAAGAAGTGGACT